CACACACACACACACACACAGGTTCCACGCGGCAATGCTCCCTTGGACCGTGAGGTCTTCCTGAATGACTCGTATTCATCTCAAGCATGTACTTTTTAATTTTACTTCTCTGTACAACTTGTCGGTTATTTTCTTGCTGAAGGAAATAATGATGTAAACGTGGCAAAAGCAGCTGTGTGACAGTCAGCACTGTTAATGATTTGTACTGCTTTTTTTTGCTGTTTTGCAGGAACACAGAGAATAACAAGAATACATTGACTGCCGAAGTGGAGAAGTTGGTAAGCATTTTTGGTATGAAGATAACTTCATACAAATCAATGTAGTAAAAGGGAAATGCTAGTATAGATCTGAAGGGTATAATACATCTATTTGTCTGTTTGTGATTGATACAGAATCAGCATTGTGGTATATATTAAATGTAGGAAGTCCTGGTTTTTGCCTTATGAGCATTTTGCCCAATGTGAAGTTGGGTCTAACTATGTGAGATGTTCCCCAGTGGTTGTTTTTGACATCATTCCATCAATGGAGGACATACTGTAGTGGAATACAAAGAAACCCCAGCGGTGGTGGGGGGGTTAATTAATGTGCTTTGATGACTTTTTTGCCGCCTTTACCTTTTCCTCTACCATCTGTATCTCTGGTTGGCTGAAAGTACACAACACGTGGAGGCCGGAAACCAATAGTGTTGCTTTGGCGTCAAGATACAAATGAGAAGGTGATAGAACAGGATGGGAAACCGCCATGGGGGAGATTGGACCCTCAGAGTTCCTATCGCATCCTGAGATCTTCCGTGCGTTTATTGCACAAGCTGTTACATTGTTGCCCCCAGTGAAAACCCACGGGCTTCCTGCACAGACTCTCATGGGCTCTGCTCCATGTAGCCGGACGTCACTGTGAGTTTGCACCTTCTGTGTTTCTCACTTCCTGCAAGATCCTGGTTAGTGGTTGACTACATGATAAAACAGTGAAGCTGCTCCAAGCCTAGCAAGACATTAACTATTCACAGATGCATACATTTTCGTGATTCTGCCAGACCTGTCTGCCATTGTTATTCCTGCTACCATGTAGGACTTGCTGTACATACCCATACAAACAACATCAGTGTTAACAACCAATCAAACCATTCGTTTTTGTGGGGCCCCCTGTTGGCCACAAACAGCCACTACACTAAATGTTAAATACAAACATTACTTATTTAGGAGATACAGAAGCAGCATGTTTTGCTAACCCGCTAACTAGCCACAATCTCCTGACTTCATTTGCTAGTCACTTGTTTCGTTTTTGCAGGGACCCCAGACACAACAGACCTAGGGATAGTGACTTTTTCAGCATGGCCCCAGCAACAACAAACCCAACATTTATGCAAATAATTCATTTTTCAACCTAATGAGTAGCTTGCATAATGAGATTATGAAATGGGATAACACGAATGAAAAAGGGGTGTTTCCTGCCAGTTATATTTTCATATTAGATTTAATTCATTTAATTAATTAGAGTTGTTTTCTAATTTAGACGAGTCATTAAACATCTCTGATCCACTCACGTTTCATATTCCAAAAGAGATGGTGAAATAATTAACCAAACGATATGTTTGGCAAACAGTCGCCAGGTGAGAATGAAATTAATCTGTTATCCTCTCTAAGCATTAGGTCTTTATTTGTGCCAGTACGGACTCAATAGCTACCAGAGAGAATGTCAGTGTCACTCTGAACCCGGAGCCAAACCCCAAAGGTTTTTAGTTAAGTATTTACACTCCCCTCATCTGAGACTTTAGCTTGCATGCTCTGGATTGATGCTGTCACCCCTTTGACAAGGACACTGGACGGACCCTTGGTCCAAGACCCCCTTGGAGCTCCGTCCAGTGTCACTCTGTTGAAATCCTGGCACTGGGCGCAATCCAGAGGGTTTTTTTTTTATTTGGCAGCTGGGACATGAGTTGTCATTTGGAAACATCTCACCCCTGCAATCATGCAGAAAGTAGTGTTACAAAACTACGAAGGACGTGACAAAAGGCTACTGTCCTAAACTGACAACTTAGCAAAGTTAATCTTGCTACAAAAAGACTGTGTGTATGTGTGTGTGTATTATGTATGTATTTTATATATATATATATATATACACTGTATATATATTGTTATATATACTGTATATATACATACACACACATATATATACATATTTTACATATAATAACAACGTTTTTCTCAGGAACAGGCAAACGATACATTTATTGACACATCCGCTGGAGTGTATTGCCTATTTACTCTATGGTTTTACTTAGTTTCATGCATGTGTCAGATGTGAAATAACTACAGTGAGAACAAACATTAGACAGCATTTCTGATGCCAAAAATAAATCGATATTAAAATATTTCATTTAAAACGTACAAACAGAAGATAGCCAGTGTACACTGACACTTGTTTGCCTTTCAAACAAATCACTGAAGTATCTCCAAGCTGAATTGGTTTGTAGCCAAACTATCTGGTTTGAGAACATTATAATTAATAATTTTCTGAACAGGGTGGTCAGGAGGCTGAGCTGGTAGCACTGTCACCTTAAACCTTTATGGCTGGGGCTTCCTGTCCAGTTTTATCTGTGTGTTTGTGCTGCTTTCATACAAAAATCCAATAACTTGCAGCAACGTGACTTTGTGACACATAGCATGTGGGATTGTGTCACCTGTGATGCCATGGCCGACACTCGTGTGTTATACTCCTATTGACCCTATAGGAATACTGTCATATACCTTTAAGTGGTTGTACCCTGCACCTAGTTGTCTCACCCTTATTTACACGTCTGCATGTTTATTACTTTATTTATTAATAGCACATTTTTTATTTCTCTATCTCTAATTTTATTTCTATTCAATTTATTGTTATTCTATTATTTTGTATTTTTGTCTTGACAGTATGTTTTAATTGTACACTCACACCAGAACCTGAGCCAAAACAAATTCCTTGTACTTTTTCTACATGGCAAATAAAAGGATTCAGATAATGATTATGATTCTGTCTGCCGTGCTTCCAGAGACAGGCTGTAGGCTCACCATTACCCTATATTGGGTTAGCGCTGACGTAAGGCGGGTAGATGGAATTTTACAATCATTCGAGTGCATGATGAGATGAGGCTTAATTTTTTTCAGTACTTTAATATCATTTTGCAAGACCTTGTCCCCAAGATGGCTCCTTCCGAAAGATTCTGTTAAGAAACTGGGGCCATGAGTCACACATAACCCTCGTGTCACTTTTTACGTCTTTAAACCCATGTGAATGTCCTTGTATTCCAGGTTAAATTTCACACGTATCAGCCATGCAAAGAGTCACGTTCATTATGGCCGCACTGCTAATCACATATGTCATTCTTCCTGAGATACGTTTCATACATATAAAAATGGACAAAGGTTTTAACACAAAACAATGTAAAGCTGGCGTGTGGTGTCCAGCCTTGATATTTAAAAGATGCTGGTGTTGCTTAAATCAGCATTTCCCAATCTGGACCCACAGACAGTCCACGTTTTCGCTCCCTCTGTAGCCTGGCAGGGAGCTGGGAGGGAGCAAAAACGTGGGCCGACTGTGAGTCCCCAAGGACCGGATTGGCCTAAATTGAAATAATTAGCCATTGATACAACAACAGGGGTGCAGTAAGAGTCTGACCCCGCCCCTTGCGGCTCAAGGAGGGCCCCACTCAGATGATAGTGAGGTGCTTCTCCTTAGGAATTCCATACTTTTCCTTGTGGTCCTCAAACAGCTGGTACAACTGTTCGGTGTAGAGCTCATGCAGGCCTTCCAGCTCCTCATCCGTGGGCCTGAGGTTCTTCTCCACCTTTATCGGCTTCCCGACTGCGGATGGAACATGTGGTCACTTTTTGTTCACACCGGCACAGCAGAAGATCGTCTTTAGCAGCTTGCGAAGGATGTTCACGTTACATTTACATTTACTTATTTAGCTAGAGCTTGGCATTCAGAGCAATGTACAATTCAGACAGCAGGGTCAGTCGGTTCCAGGAGTGGTTGGGGTTAAGGGTCTTCCCCACCAGCCTAACACTCCGCCAGCCTTGAGCACAGGACCTACACAGCCACACCACTCTGATCTAAAATCTGAGACAATTTTGTACGTAACACTCACATTCAAGGGACTATGTGTTAAACCAGTGTTTCCCAATCTGGTGCTTGGGGACCCACAAACAGTCCACATTTTTGCTAGCAGGAGGCAGCAAAAATATAGACTGTCTGGCAGGGAGCAAAAACATGGACCGACTGTGGCTTCCCGAGGACCAGATTGGGAAACACTATGTCAAACTATTTCATGCCACTCTTGATCATCATCTGAGGATCAGATCTTTCTGTAAAGCAACATCTCCTGTTGTATGACGTATATGCAAAATGTCAGAAAAACTGTTATGGTTTTATAAGTGGCAACAGATATATTTGCTGCTAAAAGGTACTGCAGATTCAGCTGTGTTCTGAAACATTTAAAGTGATAAGACGTGCATGAGAAAGCTGTTCCAAGGTAAACTTGGTTCCTGGTAAGTCATCACCCTCTCTACTGTTTGCTATAATGAAAATGTTGTGATTCTGCAGACTGCTTTACTCACAGATGGAGCTTTGCAATTATATCAAAATGAAGTAGTTACAGAATAGAGATACTTTATTAGACCATGTGGGGGACATTGTCTTTTTGCCTCTCCCATCTTGTTCTGCATGAGACACATATATGGGTGTGCGGCTTCTTTGGGGGGGGGGGGGTCACAGCACAGGGTCAGCCAATGTGCAGCACCCCTGGAGCTGGGGGTTAAGGGCCTTTGTTGAAGGGCACACAGACATGTGACTACTGCCAAGACTGAGGCTCGACCCGGTGACCTTCTGAAGTCAGACACAGAAACTTAGCGTGCTGAGCCACCTTGTGGCAAAAGTCTTCTTTCAAAACCAGCACATACAAAGAATATACTCAAATAGTCTTACTCTAAGTGAAGCGACATCTCATTTTGAATATTTAAAAAAAAAAAACATTTATGGAGCTTAGCAGGGAGTGACCTAGAGCAGTGTTTCCAAATTCGGTCCTCTGAGACCCACAGCCGTTCCACGTTTTTGCTCCCTCCCAGCTCAATGCCAGACAGTCCACGTTTTTGCTCACCCACAGTGTTGATTGGTCTCCTGTACGGAATGACACCAAAGCTGTACTGGAAGATTCCGCGGGCGTGGAAGAGGGGCAGGGAAATTCCCATCACCCTCTGTAGGCACTCCTGCAATGAGCGAAGCCAGGTCCCCCTCTGGTTCTCCACCTGATCGTAAACCTCGTTCTCCCCAAAGGAGAAGACAGGCACCAGATGAGCCCTGTAGGGGAAACGGTCAGCCGACAGACCGAGATGCAAGAAAGGTCAAAAAAGATGGTGGAAGGGCACAGAATAGAGAGATATAAGCTTGGACAAGACCTAACCCTAACCCAGTGCTTAACCCTAAGGCCCAGCCCATCTGTCCTTACCCATTCTCCATTGCCAGTTTGATGAAACCCTTCTTATTGGCTAGCTGCACGGTGTAGGAGCCAGGATGTGCATCCAAGGCCTCTGGGGCTCCTCCCACCGCGATTACCAGCACATTACCGCCCCCTGGCTGCTGCAGCAAGTACCTCGCGCTGTCCTTGTGCGAGGAGACCAGACCTACGGTATAGTTTTGGCACGTCGAAATATAAAACTTCTAAATATTACAGTGTAGCCGAACATCTTTGTGTGTATTGGGTGTACATAAGTAAGTTATACTATAGTGTCTTTTGGCTTCTGGGATGGACTTAGATTATGGTGTAACTTCAAAGGTATTGGCTCACTTTTTTGTTGTCTGTTGCTGGACAGGTTATGTGTTTATCGTGTAAATATCTGCATATATATATATATATATATATATATATATATAATTTTTTTATTTTTTTATTTTATTATATGTCAGTTTTTCTCGGTTTCATGTGCACCAAAACAAATTCCTCTGACATATATGCGTGAAATAAGTGATTCCGGGTCTGATCCTGAACTGTGGCTGGATATGTTAACCGTGATGCAAATCCCCTCCACCCCCCACCTCCAGACAGGAGCAGGTCCCGGAAGAAGGGGATCCGGAACCAGAGGGGCAGCATGAGGAGGTGTGGCCTCAGCCCGGGGTAGAGCTCCCAGAATCCCGTGGTGCAGCTGGAGAAGCTGGTGAAGGCACCGGCCACCATGATGCCGTGCGGGTGGAAGCCGAGCACGTAGTTCTGCTTGGGGTCAAAATCGGCCGTCTTTATCAGCTGGAGGGGGGAGGGGCCAGTAAAGAGCAATCAGTACCGCAGCCGCAGCAGCCACACGCCCCCTGCAGGTGAACCATTTCCACAGTTAAAAAAAGCCACACAACATTGTGGATCTCCACCCCCTGGGCAGGTGTCCAATGAAAAGTCTGCAGAGTTTTCTGCTTTTCTGTCCCCCCTCCCCCCATGTTGTTTTTCAGTGTTCCTTATATGGCGTTTAATGGAACAGGATGATGATAAACAATGGAGTTGGGGGTCGGAGCAGGACGCTGAGTTCCGCTCCCATGGGGAATGTGTACGTTATGTGTCTTACTGTACATGAGTACCTGGGCACATCCTCATATGTTTGGGTATAAAAACCTGACAATACCTACCCAACTCGTAAACATTTAACCAATTAAAAGGGCCAGTGGGTGGTTCAGTGCCTGCGACCAGAAGATGGCCAGTTCAAGCCCCAGCCTCAGCAGAACACTCACACGTCCACGGGCCACTGAGCAAGGCCATTAACCCCCAGCACCAGGGGGGCTGCATGTTAGCTGACCCTGCGCTGTGACCCCCAAGCTACAGAGAGCAAGATGGGGTCAGCAAGGAGAAGCATAGAAGCATCTCGATTTACCCACACTTGTGCAAATGGAAAATAAAGCGTGTTTGTTTGGTGTTGTTGTTCGAGGGTGATAAAGCTCTTTTTGTCAGCCTTCCTGCACGAGCTGACAGACAACTGCAACTGATTCAAAACACAGAGCCCCGATTACATACTTATTTCTTATATCCCAATTCCTCCCAGCCATCACCCTGGTCCTGACATCCCAAGCAGCAAAAAAGGCCCAAATCTCTATCATTCATATGATAGCTGTTAGCTGCCATGTCACTATATCTGAACAGCCTTCTGAAGCTGCTCCTGCCCTGACATGGACTCCTCTGTGAGGTGACAGCGATGCCGGGGGTCTGATCGCAGGGTCAGCCGTCCATTGAAGCATTTTTTGAGAGGTTAAGGGCTTTGCTCAAGGACACAACTCTGCAAAGAACAGGATTTGAACCAGCAACCTTCTGCTCACAAAGACCTAACCAGCTGAGGTACACGCCACCCCCCAATCAGTCAGGCTGATTGGGGGGTGGCGTGTTGAGGAGCATGTCACGTTAGAGATGCCAAGGACTGTAACCCAGGACTTAATACTGTACATGCAAAGCATGTGCTCTACCGCTGACCTACATTCCCTTAAAGCCACCATTTAGATAATATATTATAGCCCCCCCTGACTGAGTGGAGGAAAGTGACACCCAGCTTAAGACTTCCACGAATGACAGAGATCGAGCAGCAACTGTTACAGATGGCACTTGTCTTCACGTCCCCCCACCCCACAGCCCAAATGTCCCAAGTTAATTATTCTCTGCTGTTTTTCCACAGGTTGGAGCCCAGTGTTTGCAAACACAGTGCGGGTCTCCTCTTCCGCAGCTGCTTTCATATCAGCTGGCTGTAACCAGAATTACCCACATGTGTTTCCCTATCCGGTGCTTGGGGACCCACGTACAGTCCATGTTTTTGTGGGAGCTGAGAGGGAGCAAAAAACGTGGACCGACTGTGAGTCCCCAAGGACCGGATTGGGAAACGTCGCTATAAGAAATATAGTTCATACTAATCACTAGAAAAAGCATGTAATTTTTAAGACAGGTCAGCAAAAATGCTGCACCTCGTACTGGGATGAGCACTCAGAAGAAATTCATGTTTGAGTCCTTTGGTCACTTTCTTTCCATGTTATTTACCATGTTATTTACAATGATTCCTGAGACTTCTCCCTGCCAAGGGGTAAAATATTTTTAAATGGCCAGGTGAAACTGAGTCACAACTAAAATTTATCCTCCTTTTGTACTGGTGCTGAAACATTGTATGCAGGTGTTGTATACATCTTTTAATCCATCCTGCAATTCAGCTTTGAAACACAATTCAGATAGATTAATATTTTACTGTTATATTGATGTCGTGTGTACAATACATAGATGCCATGTATATAAACGTGCTGAATTAGAAAGAAACTCTCGACAAAAAAAAGTTGTAATTGAATTTTTTTTTTTGGAAAATGGGTGGAAGAGCCTAAAGTCATTGAACTCTGTGGGGCTCAATTTAACTGTGCCTCGTGTTTGACTTACTCCTGAATTATGTCAAAATAAGAGTCATCTTGGATGAGGTACACTGCAGTCTGGTGTGCAAACAGCCTGCATTGCTGTGGTGTGCCCAGTGATGCATCAAACTTAGCTCTGTCTCCCAGTCCCAAAATATCACAGTTCTACCAATTAAAATACTCATCCAGGAACATAAACACTGACTTCCCATCCAGGCTGTACCACCAAGTTGTGCCTGATGTTGCCTGAGATAAGATCCAGGCTTTACGTTTTTGACTAATACTGAACTGAGCATGAAGAAAAAGTGGAATCTAATTTTCAAACAAATTTCAAATTTGGAATTATTACTTTGCCAGAAGCAACATACCAACATATCATTTCAGTGGCTGGATATGTTAAAAGGTTAAGGCTTTAAAATGTTTTTAAAAGTACCTGCAATTGAAGGCCATCTTATGGAAGTTAAGTAAGTATCGATCAGTGCCAACAATATCACACCTGCTTCCCCCTCACTAAACATAAAACACAAAGGGATAAATTATTTCCTTTACTGGCTGACAGCCAACAGAACAGGTAAAGCCACGCATTATTTTAACTTTGCTGATTTCCCCAAGTGATTGAATGATATGATACATTTCTCATCATGTCTTGTCTCCAACACACATAATTCCACGTTAAATGTACCCCATATTTTACATTTCGTCATAACTCTACATATCTCTGGCTTCAAAGCAGTTTCTCCCCCAAGAACAATTATCGAGCTCAGTGTATTGTGGGTAAATGTTATGCATTGATCTAAACTACTAAAAATGAGATAAACCGAAATATTTCCTTTCATAAGACACTGATTGTTTATGCAATACAGCTGAAACACCACTTACATTTTCACATAAATAAAAAAAAACATATCTTAAAATGCATCCATCTTTTGATAGTATTAATTAATCTCGTTAAGGGTATAACGACATTCATACTGTAAGTACAAGGTACGCGACAAAGTGTTCGCTAGAAAACACACCTATTCATCGTACGACACGCAAAACACGTAAAAAAAAACATTCAAGTTCGCACATTGTGATTCGCCATTTCCTTTCAGGAGCAAAACGGATCATACAGGGAAAACAGATCGCAAGAAAACCCTGCAAGTCATTCAAAGCGAGACCTGAAGAGGATTTATCTTATTACACTAGCAATTATTATTATGACCACTAGAGGGTAGTATTGTGCTACAGCGCAAAGGCACATCGGACCGAAAACCATTCTCTGGTTAGTAAAGTTAGTAAAATGTAAAGCCGCTCAAAATGTCATATTTAATTATATAAAAGTATAAATGTTCTACTAGTGAGTGTGTGCGTTTTCGTAATTGTTATATTGTGGGGAATAGATTTCCCCACAATGTGATAAAAACTTTTTATCTTGACATTCTTTCAGTCCCCACATGGATAACATCGATTTAATATATATATAAAAAAAACTGTAAATGTAATTTTAAAAAATGCCAAAAGTCTTGTATTTTGTTTGGTCACTTATGGTTAAGTTGGGGCTGGGTAGGGGTTAAAGTTGTCATGGTTGGGATTAGGTTTATGCCCATAGAAATGGAATGGAGAGTCCCCATAAAGATATGAAAACTTGGACTATGGCGGTGGGGGTTGTATTTACCACATTGTGGGAACCAAAAGTAGTCAAATATATAAAGCAAGTATAGAATAAATAAGTATATAGAGCAGTGCCGTTTCACAGCGTTCAGTGTCCTTCTTTGCTGTTTGGTCAGTGGCACATTCACGGACACAAACACATCAGGCACAGCTGGGGAGCCACTGAAAAAAAAGACCCAGACACACCCAAAGTCTGCAGTACAGTCCAAACTACAAAGGTCCCTGATGTTCCACCGAGAGAATATTTACCATCTGGCGCGATATCGCCCGTGCCAAGCTGACCTTGACCTCAGGCAGCCTCAGAGAAATACTCACAAGTTAACAATCCCCACTGTAGACGTTTTTACAGCAAAGAGCACAATGCACTATAGCACACAATAGTCAATCATTTTAAAAATAATGAGGACATTAAATAAATTATTTCAGCTTAGTTTTAGCGTTTATCAGCAGTTATCAGCAGTCGTTAAATATAATATATATGCAGATTATTTATTTTAAGGCGATTTTCGCCGATATTTTCGGTATTTTTGTTCATGTTCGCAATGAAGAAGAGCCGCGAGCCACACCTCCCGGAGCCGGGGAGCATGACACAGCAGAAGCGCGAGGACAAAAATGTCGGATGCAAATCCCGCGGAGGAGACACAGCATCAGTGCACCCAATGAACTCGGCAGAGAACTGCAAGACCACGTGACAACAAATCCCTGAGGATAAAACCACATTTCCCCTGATGTAGTTATCCAGAATGCAGGGAACCTTAGCAAATAATAAAATAAATCAGCTCATGCCTAACATCTTTATATAAGCTTTTATATGCAGAAATTGATTATTCTCTCTGCAGCTTTGAATGATATGATACATTCAAGAACAATTCCCCCTGGGGATATTTCCCACATACCACCAATAAAACCCAGAAGGACATATAAGAAGACTCAGTCTTGCCCAGCCTATCTTGGTATATATGTCTGTAGCAGAAAAACATTGCTAATCCATGTTGTATGCTGGGGATGGCACCATACCTAGCACAGTCACCTCATACCACTGGAGACCAGGGCTCAAGCCTCCACCAGGGTTCCATGTGTGTGGAGTTTGCATGTTCCTCCGGGTACTCCGGTTTCCCCACATAGTCCAAAAACATGTTGAGGTGAACCGGAGTTTTGTCAGTCGGTGTGAATGGGGTGTGAGTGAATGGGGTGTGAGTGAATGGGGTGTGAGTATGCTCTATAATGTGTTGGCACCCCATCCTGCATTTTTCCCTGCCTGTAGCTTCTGGGATAAGCTCCAGACCTCTGTGACCCAGCATAGGATATGGGCCTTTCTGAAAAAAAAACAGCACAGACCAGCATGATTTCCATGCTGGTGTAGCTGGTAAACACTGTACCTGGAACTGTACTAGTCTACCTGCACATGAAGCTATAGCCCACCAGCAGCAAAAAACAACATATGCTAGCATGCCAAGCACGCTTTATGCTGGTCATGCTGGTAACCAGTTATGCCAGTCTGTACTGTTTTTATCAGCAGGGGGGTATGCAAAATGGATGTATTTTGTGTGCTGCATGTTGGGTGGTGGATAATGTGGCGAGCATTGAGTAATAACCCAGAGGTTATTAGTTCAAGTCCCCTGGAGGCATACAAGCTTATCTCGAATATCTCTTGTAAAATATCCAGCCGTATGACTAGAAATTGATACATACTTTGCATAAAAGCTGCATCTAAACAACAGCACATGCATGAAGCCTCATAACCCATATGTATCCTGAATTGCCCTGTGCAGGGAAGCATGATGAAATTTCCGCTGTTGCTCACGACGTTGGGGACTGGGTGTTGCAATCACTCACCCGGATGGGAAAGTAGTCTCGCATGTGTCTCCATAGGGGCAGCCTGCAGATGAGCTTAATCCTCCTGCCACCATGAGCCGGCGTCCTCCAGTCGACGAACCACCAGCAGGCGTAGAGCACGCTGATCAGCCAGCAGCGAGTGAAAAGGAGGACAAAGAAAAGTACGGCACTGCCCGGCGCTGCAAGGACAAGCACCGGCATCACCCAGGAGAGCCATGGAAACCACAAGGAGGACAGGGGGCCCACAGTGCCGTACGTGGGCAATATCTGCCGTTAGTCACAAACGAAATCTGTACCCCTAAAATCAAGATCTATTTCTGCTCATTCTGTGGCACAGACCTATTCCCTTTCCATTGATGTCTCTCTCTCAGACAGTTTATGAGATATAATTCCATTTCCATTGTCATCAGTTCCAAAAGGGGTGGGGGGGGGGGTTAGAGGCTAGGATGACTAAGCAGGTTTAGGAGTTTAGATGCCTCCCTTCCTGCTGACACAGTGAGAGGGTAACGAGATGGTGCCCTCACTGGCCCTCTCACTGCCTGTTCCTGGCAGCAAAGGGGGGAGAAAGAGGGAGAGAGAGAGAGAGAGAGGGCGAGAGAGAGAGGGCGAGAGAGAGAGAGAGAGAGATAGCCCTGCTAATACCTCAGTTCTATTCTCTGTGTCAAAATCATAATTCCTGTGCAGGGACCCATAGCATTACGGGTGAAAAGAGACATTTCAACAGGTTCGTGTGTTTAACAAGACCAGTGCAAGCTGAAGCATAAAATCTCCTAACACCATATGTAAAGGCATTTTTTTAATTGTTAGAAATTACTTATTCATGGTATCATGGCCATGTTTTGCACATACCTAAGGCAAGTTAAAAAAAAAAACATGAAATAATTCTTTTTCTTTTCCTTAAGCTTTTCCTCTTCACCGAAACTGACTTGTTTGCTGTGTCCTGGCCTGAAGCAAACCTGTTCCAAACCTGGGGAACCCGAGACACCCCTACATCACACTTAAAAATCACCCAGGTAAAGAGAAAGACAGAGCTGCAATCCATCAGGAGCCGTGCTGGAGGACACACCCCTGGAGAGCTACGGAACAGGAGCCTGCGCTGCAGCAGAGAGCCCGGACAAGCCCCAGGCGTGTCTGCCAGCGACACTCACCCAGGCCAAGGAAGCAAAACACCCAGAAGAGTACAGATGCCGTCTGCAGCCTCCGAGTGAGGGGGACGTCCAACGGGGCAAACTCAACCTTCATGGCAAATTGTCACGCAAAGCAGAGGACCAAGATGGTGAGCTGAGCCGGAGTCCACCGTCCAAAGTCTGCTGGCCGTCCTCCTCTGAGCGTCTTATCGTGAGATCTTGCCCATGAGCACCTACAGTATATCACCCGGCAGACTTTTGACCCCAGTGAAATAGCATTTATTAAAATGTCACCACTCTCTCCTCTCCTGTTTAAGGTCAAGAGAAAAATGCATGTGGTCCTATTTTTCCTGCTGTATTTAAGCTATCACCTCAGTGTTGACTAAGATTTGAACTTCCTTGACACCTCTGACTATTTTGCAGAGATTACTTGAGGAAGGGCTTGGTAAGAAACATATAAACATATATATTCTCATTTTAACTCTTGAAGTAAGGTATTGCATTTCACGATCGATTTGATTTTGACCAATTATTTCAAGCTGATTTTTATTATTAGCCTGATGAATGCTGGCCTGATGCGTTTTCCAGGATGGCTAGAACTCAACATGGGCAATTCTATGATAATTTAAGGTTGGGGGCCTAACAGTGTGTATGATTCATACAGAGGGGCAACCTTATCATTAGCAAATAATATGTATTGAACTGGTGAGTGACAGGGGAGGGGGCACTCCAGGGACCAATCAGCTTTCAGCTGGGCCAGTGTGCCTTTGGCCCCGCCCCTGTAAGGACCCCTGCAACTAATTTATGTTGGTTCAGCAGGCCGATTTGACACTAAATACAATGTGTTATACACCAGCTTTTGAGCAAAGTTGTAGCCTCAATTTAGGAGAACATCCATCCATCTATCCATCCATCCATCTTCCAGAAGCTTATCCACTGCAGGGACGTGAGCTGTGTGACGCAGGGTGTATATTCATAAATCCATCTTCTTAAACCAGCAGAGGGACCCTAATTACTATTTAAGTGAACCCACATTGTTATTGAATGTATTCAAAATAACTACACAGTAGGCAGGATAACAGGTAGTATCCCATGTAACGTGAAGGTTGTCAACTGAAGACACAAACCAGTGTCCACTGTCCAAAAACCTTAAGATTAATGGTTTAAACCACTCAAAAGTCTTCAGTTTATATATGTTGTGATTTTCTCAGCACATTTTCCATGAGCAAATCCATGCTCTGTTTTTCAGCAAATAAGCATCTAACTCGGGATTTCATAACAAGCCCCAAAACTGTGTAAATTTAATAGTCAAAAACCAAAACATGGGACTAGGAACAAATGCACAGTGTTTCTTTTTGCCTCTATATTTTAATTTTCAAAACCATCCATCTTTGTCAGGGTCGTAGAACTATCCAGCACAATTTACCCCAGTTCCCATGCACAGTAATATGTTAGATTTGCTCACAGTATCTCTCCTTCACCCCATCTGCTCATGCATTCCTCTTCTTGGAATAGAAAGCCGACCTCCATCTGTCCAAATGGCCAAACAATTCCCGCAGGACTCTACGGGAAAGATCAATTTTACCACATTCCGAGCACAGACCGACCTAGAGACATTCATTTAAAAGGCACATTATCCTAGATTTACTGGGCGGCAATTCGGAGAAAAACGGTAAACGGGTAAAATATGCTGTTAAAATATATAAAATATACCGTATTAATAAAACGATGCGAAAACGTTTGTTCCCCTTATGAGCATCATGGACTCCCCATCTACAGTACAACGGCAACGCAACTGATGGAAACAGAAAATATTTGCAAAATATAATGTTTTACACATAAATTCAATATTTGCCGCAATAAAACGTCTATAGAGTGTAAGAATGATAGAGCTTATATATTGCTAGTCGTTAAATATCCCCTTAAAATGAAGAGGTTTGAATGTTTTTTTTCTTCAATTGCAAGAGATTTTAAAGGGCACTTTGGTCCGATAAAGCCATTTTGCTCGATCAGGTCGTTGAGTTGCACTGAGAGGCTGGCGGTGCCTCCTCCCTCTGCAGGATCTACGTTACGATGACGGAGCCAGGTGATCGACCAGCCGTCAGACCCACAGCGGCTCCATACGGGATGCGGAGCGGGCGGGGTCGCTTTTAGCAGTACTGTCTGCTTTTTCTCGCAGTGTAGATCAGACATCGGTGAACCATAGTGCCTGTTCGGAAACCCTGAATACATTATAATTAGTAAAAGGCGGACGGAGCGTCGGTCTCCTGCAGTATGGATTAGTCCTCTATCGTCGCGGAGCATCACAAAAATCATCAGTTTTGAAGATACATACGGACGGATTTTTTCCAGTTTTCGCGAGGATTCAATGCCTGGAGAAATAGCGCGGATAAGGTATTTGAGTTTTTTTAATTGACAGGTTGGACGCGGCACGTAGGCCTGTTATTCACATATAAAATACATACGAGCGTCTGCGGTTAATTGGTCCGGTACTCGCCATAATCATGGCATGGCCCTGTATCTCCAGGGCTTGCTGCATGGCCCGCTTCTGGAATCAGCTGGACAAAGCTGATATTGCGGTGCCTTTGGTGTTCACCAAATATTCGGACGTGGCCGAAATGCAGCATCTCCATGTTCAGCCCCAGCAAAAAGCCAGTCTCCAGTCGCGAGCGAATCCAGTCGCCATAGAAACGCAGCCCGAGCCGGAGTCCGTCGCCAAGCAGCCGACCGCAGCATCAGCTGCTGCTGCAGCGGAGGAGAGTTCAGGGGCATCTGTAATGCGCCAGGACTTCAAACCCTGGAAAGTGCGTCCTGAGCCAAGCTGCAAGCCCAAGCACGAGTATCAAGTCTCTGACACCCCGTTTAACAATGAGACACAGTACCAGAAGGATTTCAAACCATGGCCTATCGCAAAGAGAGGAGATCACCCCTGGATCCCCAAACCGATCCCTACAGTCACCGGTCCAGAGGGCCAAGTCACTAACGGTCCCAGGCACCTCCATGCATCCACAGAGGTCGAAAGTGGAGTGGAAAAAAGTGAAATTGCAGACAAGGTGACAGAGAAGGAAATCCTGCTGAGTGAGAGGAAAAAGAAGAGAGTGTCAGAAAAAGTTTCAGATAAAAAAGCAAGCCTCCAACCAGAGGGACGGACAAGCGATGTCTTCGCAGAGGACAAAGGGAGGGCGGCCGTGGATGCATTGAACAGGCAGATCAGACAGGAGGTCGTCACCGGAAGTTCCTATAGGTAGGGGCCATTTTCATTTGCTGTCAGGGCTAGTGCAGTCACTAGACAGATGTGACAGGACTACTCATCAAAAAAAATGTTTAACATCTGCAAAAGCATTTTAATATTTGAATGCTTCCTTTTTTAAGTTAAGCTAGAATCGATCTTTAAGGTATGATTTATATACTCTATATGTGCTGAATTAGTCTGTGTAACATATTAGGCTTTTAGATTTTGTATGGGACCGTGGAGCAGTCCCAAAATATGAGATACTCACTACATTACATGAGGACAGCTGTTGAAGAGCATCAGTCACATTAATAATTCAGTCGTTATTTTAAGCTAAATTGGATTTGGCAAAGCTAACTTTACTCCACAATCCAGACCAAGCAGTTGTAAGATTGTTCGATAGATGGATGGATGGATATAAAACAAGTTTGATAATGTGTTTAATTAACTCAGTAATTTGTTTGCTGGGGTTTTGAAGAAGAGTGCTATTGTCACATGTGTGTGCTGTACATTGTGTTTATTACACTTTCTGTATAATCATATATACACTATATGTAACTACTAATCATGAGACCTTTGTAACACATTTAAGTTGAACCAGTACTATACATTCATGGTAAGAATTTACTCTGATACATGCCTGTGTCTGTAAAATCTCAGACATACAATGTGGATCACTGGCCCCCAAAATAAGGAATGATTCAGCAAATACCCAGACAACTTCATGAGGTACAAGTCCCCCTTCAACTTTAGTAATGTGATGACCAAACATTACTACATCATTGCCTTAACAATTCTCCCGTCAGAAAAGTTGAATGTCAGTTCCGGTCTGAATTCACGTCAGTAGACTGCTCCTCGGATAAGTTTAACAATTATGACAAAGACGCAAGTTGAGTGAATCCATCAGCCATGATTCAAGGCTTTTCATGCGTCCAATGAGCAGCCAAACTTTAGCCGTGTTTTTTGCCACACGTTCAAAGAACGTTTAAGCCTTTGGGGGGAGGGGGGCAACAGGTTCCATCCAGCTGTCACGATGCACTTGGAGACTATGGAGAGCAGACCATTGTGTCGTGCTCCACATGCAGAGACTGAGAAAGCAGGTCAGCTGTAGGTTAATACCTCTCAGCATTTGACACTTGGCACAGGGCTTCTGTGCAAATGGTGCAGATTGGGGTGCATGAGCGTGTGGAGGGGGGGCAGCCCCAGCTCCCCCCCTGCAGTCCAGATAAAGGACCACATTCAGAGGATTTCCCAGGCCCTTATAACTCACCCCCGAATAGCCAGAGACAAGCATCAGTCTCAGCTTACAGGCAGTGGTGGAGATTGAGCCTGTTTGCCCCATGACCAGTACCAGGGCTATCAACAATGTTATTAACATCGTTTAGGTCATGATTTCTTGTGATTATTCTGGAAGGGAAGACAAGCAGAAATTTTTAAATGTTAAACAACACTGAGTGGACATGCATGCTATTATGACATGTTCTTAGTTTATTGGAATACGGGCTTGGTTTTCGTGGTTTTTGTAGTCTTTGGACCCCATGCACAGAGAAGAAAACCACAAGGAAATACCTCTACAATGGAGACAGTCTTTTATGCATCGTGAACCAGCATACATTAAAGTGGAAGATGTGGCTTGAACATCTAGACAGAGATGAATAATGAGCCATATCGTGCGAAGGAGTCAACATCCTTTTCCTCTTTGGCAGTATATCTTCACCTTATTTGCTGTAACTAGTTCTTGAGATGTTGCAGTGTCCCTGAAGTGATAATTGTTGTGCAGATGCTTAGACGTTCATCCAAGCGTGACTTTCATCGGGAGTCGTCTGTATCTGCTGATGTATGCAAGGTTTCCCCTGCAGGTATTCCGCCAGCCTGCTCTCAGCTGTTTTTCATCCATGATGGCTACCTGCTTTAGGGGCCGAACGCTCGCCCTGGCAATTCCTACTGCTTGTCAAATACTTGTGTCTTTTTCAAGAATGCTGTTTTTTCCACAACATAGAACCCCTCCATTTTCTTTGCTAAGTAAAGTGTCATATGGTGTCTCTATGAGACCCTGTTTAACAGTGAATTGTTTATAGTCAGTTTGGACCAGCGTTTTGGTGGCCCGATGTGGAAGCTGCTTGATACTTAAAAATGTTCCTAGTATAATGTACAATCCACATTAAACAATACATTATGGGCTATATATGGAAAATAGCCTAATCCAAATTGAACTCTTTCATGCTGAAAGAAGGGGCGGGGGGGGGGTTAGGACAATTTCAAGGGGCCTAAAAAATCTGGAACATAATCGGATGGGTCTGGGTTGGGAGTCCAGTGTGACATGGGGGCCCAAAATCTCTAGCAGCGCCCCTGCAGATGAGTACAATACATGCTGATTGATGTTCTGATTGGATCTACGCCAGCAATCGTGCCAGATGAGGTTTCATTAGGGCCCACATCTGACACATTCACTTATATTAAACTGATTGTCTTCTGGTTGTTGTATTAGTAAGTATCAGAACAGTTCAGTGTGGTTTTATTTAAAAATGAAAATAAATTAAATAGATGTAGAACAAACTGATTTCTTGAGTTGAATATGGCTTGCTATTATATCTACATAATATGCTGTTTTACAGTGATGTACTGATCATAGTTATGATATTACTACCCAATAAAAGTCCAGTCACTTTAAATGGGAAATTTATTTCACGTAATGTTCTTAGTAGCCTTTGTGAAAACACACAAATAAAAATACCAAATTGACTGCAAAAATAAATGAAAAGCAAATAAAATACAAATCAACGGTTTTACAAGTGGAAAATGTTTTGAAATATATTAAATAAATAGCAGGTTGCTTTACTTGGTTTTCAGTTAGACCCACTGTAGAAGAAGTCTCATTCCAAAGGTCTGGGAAGCAATGAGCTGGTTGCCCATAAAGAATGTTAAATATTTATTTTTTTAATTTCTTTTACTAGCAACAAAATTGTTATTAATTGTTATCAAGCCTTTGTTTTGTATCAAAAGGAACTGCTTAAAGAGTCAAATCATTCATGAAAATGTGATATTTCCACTGATGAGATACGTGTCAGTTGTTCTGATTTTTAGTCAGAAACACGTGTTTTGCAACTTTTCAAGATGAAGGACCCCTGTATAAATCTTGTAGAAATTCATAAAATAATTCCTGAAATGAAAGACAGTAAAAGAAGGTGGACTGAGTCAGGACAAAGAAAGGTGGAGATTCACCCTCATGCAAAATTTATTTTGCGAAATCAATAACTTAAAACCACTAAAAACACATGCTGCAAAAAGAAGTCTTTACATACATTGATGAAAATTATTTATAATAATATGTGGTGCATAATTATATCTGTGGTTTCTGCCTCTGTAGTATATCTATTATTATTATTATTATTAGTATTATTATTATAAGCCTTATTATATGTATGAATTGGTGATAATTTGAATGATCTGTGTATGCTGTGATGATTTAGTTCCTTCGCTTACACCGTACCACAGTTGTGATCATTAGGATTGTTCACTATTGTGCTTTAGTTGTTCTTCCTCCCCTTTTGCACACCGTGGTTTTGAAATCTGCTCCCGCTGCAGTCAGTGAGCCCAAGGGAAGCTTCTCCGCCATCCTGACGGCTTGTCGTACATCTGTCGCCTCTGCTCTTTGTTTCTTTGGATGCTGCTTTATCGTGAGAAAGGCCCTGCATGAAGATGCGTGCACCGGCGTCTCTGTGGCTATTGTTTGCGTTGAGTGAGCAGTGTGATTGTTCCAGCCATGGCGTCTGACGCAGGAATAAAGCAAGCATTGTCTCGAGGAAATACGGCATTTCTGAGGCTGAAATCACGTGATGGTTTTTCTGTCATTCTTATTTCACTGCAATTATATTAATTGGCCCTTTAGTTCCCAGTGCTAGCAGGGAGAAAATGAAGCTCAATTTCTAATCTCAACAATTTTGTGTTGGCCATGCAGGTGAAGGGGCTGGTGTAATCCCTCTAAATCACATTGATTTTTTTTTACATAATTCTTCCACACCAGACCAGAACATAAATTATATTCTTGGGTTAGTTTGGACTTCATCCAAGGCCATTCTGGTTAAATTTTATTGCAAAAGCTAACTGGTCCTCATTTGACTTTTCCCAAATCAAATGGAGAATTAAAAATATATAATAACAGTAATAAGTATGTCATTTCATGTTACGTACAGTGTAGGACCATAACAAATATCTCACCAACGACTCACCACAGCTCAAATACACAGAGACATCTGTAAATATCTATTCAAGCTTTCTAATGACAGCTAGGTACACATGCAAATTTGGAATGACCTTTTTAATGTCATTGCAAACTTTACTGTGTTGCTAGTAAATACAGGGGTGGTGTGTGGTGTAGCAGGTTGGCATGTGGGGTATGTGATTAAAGGTCACAAGTTCAAATCCCTAAGAAGAACTGTAAAATACCTTCCAAGTAAGAAGGGTACGCCATCAGAAAAAAGTACTAAGTTCTGCCTTTGAGAGGACAGTTATTTTTCACTGGGGGGTACCCTCAATGGTCTGCCAATTGTACCCTAGGTGTTGGTAAATGTACCTTTTAAGGTAGAGAAATGGACCCTGAGGAACATTTTTGTACCTCAGGGGGTACTTTATTGTTGTTTGTACATTGAGGTACAAAACTGTACCAGGGCTGTACTCTTTTTTTCTGACACTGTATAACATCTCCCTAACATATCCGAAATAAAATGCTTTAATATCTCCCTGGCATATACCTAGTAAGAAGAGTCAGCCACATAATTAATTTCTCATTTTCTAAGTATAGACTGCTCACATGTCTTTGAGACTCTCCATCCTGAATTGATGTCTCAGAGGTGAACAGCCAAAATCTTTCACAGTGAAATTAAAAGGCAGTAGAGTCATGTTTACATCAGAGTGGTTTCTGCGACTCCTGAAAAGGAAGGGAAACAGAAGGATTTCCCAGCTGAGGAAAGGATGGAATGGTACTGTCACCCACTGGTGGCTTTAGGAGAACT